ATTCCTTCCTGACCCCATATAGGTTAATGGTCCGGCCCTGAACATGTGAGCAAGAACCAGCCAGCCAGCCAAGCACCTGGCAGAAAATGCTTGGTGCCACCTAAGAGCCCTGGCCCTCCTGATCCCATCTCCAGCCATGGCCATGCCTGATGTTTCAGAAGAAGGAGATTTCCTCAATCAGCCCTTTCATCTAATAACTTCAGAAAATTTGTCTACACTTGTGCAGAAGTCACTCGCCTGAAATAGTTTAAAACAGTTTATTAATAATTTAGGATAATTTGGTTGAAGCGTTTAACCACTGTTGATAGGACTCAACCACGTAACAACTGTTAAAAATAGATTTTTAAATAAGAGACTAATACACACCGATTACCTAACCCATATTAAAGCCATTTTATACTAAAGCTATTTTAAGCTTTGCTTAATAATGAATCAGAAAATATGGTTCAGAGACGAGTGTGGACAGGGCTGAAGGATAGTATAATCACAAAACAGACTGTTACATGACCATTTTCGCTTATCCATTTTTCTGAAACAACTTTTCCCTCTCATTTACCAACTAAAAGCCAAAGGCAAACCCAACATTTGCACTAGAAGTGGGTCAGACTGACCATGCCCTGCAAACAGAAAAGGGAAGTATTGGTTAAGAGATGCAAAGTAAAGATCTGGAAATAAAAATAAAATGCATTTTTTGTGATGAGCGTTTCCAGTCTCATTTCCAGATTAAAGTGACAGGCTTTAACACTGGGGTTAGGTAATGAGAGGTTGACATGGTTGCCACAAAGAAAATTAAATAAATTACAACTAATATGGTAATCCATCCTAGAGATTAGTCACATTACAAATAAAATAGCCAATATGTGGGCCATCTAACATGCAACAACAGTGCTGTTGAAAATGGGAGAAGCCTAGACAAACATGGAAATGAGCCAAGATGCAACATTGAGCAAAGCGACTTCATAGAACAGCATCAACTTTTGAAAGAACTGCCTGGCTCTCCGGATGACGTGTCGTTAAATAAGCCTTTCTTCAGTTACATACATTTTATTAGACAAGATTGTCTTTTAACTAGGAACTGCACATTAAAACAAACATTGCTTTCACATTTAAGCACAAACATTTAAAACTGGTTGAGACCTGCATTAGCCTGTAGTATTAAAGGATGCCAATGTCATTTTTATACTGATTCATTTTTTTTTAAAAAGAAAGGGTAGTCATGGTCGGCAATAAATCAATGTGAGGTCAGTGATGCCAGCTGTAAACAAGTCAGGTAAGGCATGAACTTGCCTTTTAAATTCACTCAATAGTAAGTAGTTTCAGTAATGGTCTCATTCACATCAGCACTGAAATCTGCTTATCAGAAATAAGTCTGTATAACTGCAAAAAATTTCATCTAAACGCCTTGAGGAAGGGACTACTTCACTTTTCTCAGAACAAAGTAATTATTAAAATCCCAATGACAGTATGAAAGTGCATTCTCTGAGAATCATCTATATGATGTCAAGTAATTATACAGTTCTCACTGAGGAAGTTGAGCATGCTCCCTTTTTCACTGGTAGCTCATTGTACATAGTACAGCGCCACTTGTGATTTCATATATTAAAAGTAAAGTTCTGTTGGAAAGTCCATGAAACAGCAACTTTGGTGTGGCCTGCTAGATAGCATTCATGAGATGGAAATTAGCTTTACAGAACAAGGCTTGACAAATGGGGAAGTAAAAAAATACAGAAAAAAGCCTAGTCGCTCTTAGATCTTAATGTCTTTATCAAAGATTTGTGAAGATCAGCAGCTTCATTATTACTTGCATAAAGCCAGCTGGGTGCACTGCCTTGTGTCTACCTGTTGGATGTACATGTTTAAGGATTTAACTTTTGCCTTGTTTTCTGAATGTTCCACACTCACACGGAAATTGAAATGCTGGTGTACTACCAAATGAATGTAGCCTTTTGCTTGTTTAGTAAGCTGCCATTTTGGATTTCATCAAGATAGTTATACAGAATAAAATGTATATTAAGAAGGCAACACAGAATTCTGAAAGCAAGCATTTTCAGGTACTGTAAGTTCAATAAGATGTTAAAGCTCTAGAGAGGGAGATTCCCAAGCATGTTTTTGGAAGGTTAGGGTGTAGTGGAGAAGATAACTGAACAGAAGATAATTATTTCAACTTCAATGTGAAAACTAATGGTACTGATAGCTAGTAACTCATGAGGATTACAATTGATTAGATTATAATGGTGGAAAGTGCCATGCTGTAGAAGTATGATTTGTTGAACAGTTTTGTTATTCGCCCTCTACCCACCCCCCAAATACAAGAAACTGAAGTTCTCTCTAATGTGTAAGATGCAGTACATGCAGTAAATGAGGAAAATCAAACAATAACTGTGCATTCTGAATAAGATGACTAGTATCCCTACATATTCACTTGCTAATGGCAAGTAAGAATCTTTTCCTGGGCAGAGGGAGGCTTACCCCCATTTCTACAGAATGTAAGCTTTCATAAAAAAAATCATTTTATGACAATTAAAAATGTTAGCAGAGGGCTTTTCCATATAAGGGGAAAGGCCCAGAATAATCATTGTAGAATAGCTACTGCCTATTTCACCTAATTCACAAAAAGGCACTTTTAGTACAGAGTAAGAGTGTCCACACAGGGAGTTAGTGCCAAATAACTATTGCACTTGGGCTTTGGAGCTGTGCTCCGGCTCCGCTCCAGCTCCAGGCAAAAACCTGCAGCTCCATTGCTCTGGAGCTGCTCCACGCTCTGCTCCAAAGCCCTGCTTTAAATTCACACCTTAGCTATTTTATGCTAACTTCCCCATAGGGTTCTGTATAGAAAAACCCTAAATGTGACCTGGTGTTGTCTTTCTGAATCTGCAGACAGGCTGAAATAACAGAAAGGTGTGAACTGCCAAAAGCACAAGTCCTGGCAACAGAACAATTTGAGCAGCTAAGGGCTAGTCTACACTGACAATGCTTTAATGTGACGCTCTCCCAGTGCTTTAAAAACACCACCTCAATGAGAGGCGTGGCTCCTAGCGCTGGTGCACTGTTTACACTGGCGCTTTACAGCACTGAAACTTGCTGTGCTCAGGGGGGTGTTTTTTCACACCCTGAGCAAGAAAGTTGCAGTGCTGTAAATTGCCAGTGTAGACAAGCCCTAAGCGGTGTGTGCTGGTAATGGTTCCTCAGCCTGGAAGATGAGAGAAATCCTTCCTTTCAAGCTTGTGTGGCCATTATGCATATGCCTACACTGTATCTGGGAATGAGCTTCCCAGCCCAGTTGACAGACTTATGGTAATGGGGCCCATGCTAGTGTACTAACAATAGCTATATACCCTGCAGCTTGGACTGGGGCTTGGGTTTTCAAGACTGAGGGGAATAAGGGTGGGCTTGAGAGCCCGAGTGCCAGCCTGAGCCTCAATGTCAAAGCAACATTTACACAGCTATTCTTACTCTGTGGACTCAGACAGAGAGGCTCACTCCCAGATGTAGTGTAGATATGCCCAGAAGGGTTGGAGTAACCAGTGCTCCTTGGTCTCCAGCATGAAAGAGCTGACAGATCTATCCACTGGATAGCTAAGACCAAATCACATGCAAATTTGGGCTAGGAAGCAAAAGAAACACGTGTTCTCAGAATTTGGGGAGTACCCACAGAGAGCAGCATAGTATCAGTTCTATACAAGATGGACTTCAAGCAGCCACAGACTAAGAGGCAGGAATTAGTTTGAAATGTAAAGCACTTTGAGACCTAAAGATTAGAAATGCTATATAAAAGCTAAGTATTAGTATTATTATTAGAACAGTTTCCGTTCCAAGAATATTTTTGTAAAATATATAGGCTATAGCTCAACCAGAAATTATGGCCTTGATGCAAGAATTACTGGATGAACTAGTATGGCCCCCGTTTTGCAGGAAGTCAGACTAGAGAATAATAGTCCTTTTTGTTCTAAAGACCTATTAATCTCAACTTTACAGTGTGCCTTATTTTAAATCTTCAAAACTGCTGTGTCTAATTTCTGGGATGCTTCTGCTATCCCAATCCCACACAATAATGTGCACACATTTGAAGCTCTCATGGAGGAGGGTAAAGCAAGCATTTTTACTAATGACCTACCTCCTCGATCATATGTAAAGGGCTGTTGGTCAGGTGAGATAATATACTTCATAATGTAAAAGTTTGTTGCAAGAGCTCACTACAACATCAGCAATTAAGTCTTCTGATGAGTGGGACTGATGATATGCAGATTAGACCGGTTATATTGCACTTGGTTTTTTATATAAATTAATAGTCTGTTTTTACATCACCGGGTATCATTTATCCATAGAATTTCTTCCTTGGGATGTGCAGACAACAGCAGCTCAGAAATTTAAGCACTCCTGGGCCAGGAAAAGCAGCTTTATGGGGGGAAGGGTGAGAGGGAAGAAGAGAGAGACACGACAGGCAGCCGCTGCTGGACAAAGGGACAATTTGCCAGCTGTGAGCAGCCCAACTGGCAGCGGAGCGCGGTTCTGCAGGATGAAGTACCGCGGGCACTTACGTGCACAAACACAACGCTCCAGACTGTGAGCGGCGCCTACAGCTGCACGCAAAGGCTGCGGCTCCCCACCTCCGTGTTCAATGGGGGGGCGCCACGAAAAGAGGCAGGAAACCGGGACCTGGTCCCCCTCTTTTGGGGGATGTATCTAGACCCCCCTCTTCCCAGGCCCCAACTGCTACACCTAGAGGGAGCTCCTCGGGACCGGGCTCCGTGCAGGGGGCGGGGACCGGGCTCCGTGCAGGGGGCGGGGACCGGGCCCCGCTCCGCTCCCCTTCCCCCATTCTCCGGGCAGGGGGCGGCTCCCCGGGCCCCCGCTCCGCTCCCCT